TCTCTAGCCATTCTTGCTTTAGATATGTTGAGAGCATGCTCCTGAATGTATATCACATTCAGAATTGTGACTTCTTACTGCCGCTCACATTGTGAAGGTTCCCTTTTCACCTTTAGGACAGCTTCTTGCCTGAAAGCCAACTCTGACATCAATACAGCTATGCCATCATTCTTCTTTCCTTTAAGATTTTATTTATTTGAGAGACAGTGAGAGAGAGAGAGAGAGAGAGAGAGAGAGAGAGAATGAGCAGGGGGGAGGCGCAGAGGGAGAGGGAGAAGCAGACTCCCCACTGAGCAGGGAAGAACACAGGGCTCTGATTCCAGGACCCTGGGATCCTGACCTGAGCGGAAGGCAGATGTCCAACCAGCTGAGCCCCCCAGGCACCCTACTCCATTCTTCTGATTAGCATTGCATGGTGAGTCCTTTCCTGTTCTTTTATTTGCTTTCTGTGTCCTCAAGCTTTCATGTGTCTCTAGTATGGTATGATATTTTTCATGCAGTCTGACAATCTTTTCTTTTTAATTAGAATATTTAATTTATTTAAAATCAAGGCACTGGGTAGCCCAGGTGGTTCAGTGGTTTAGCACTGCCTTCAGCCCAGGGTGTGATCCTGGAGACCCAGGATTGAATCCCACGTCGGGCTCCGTGCATTGAGCCTGCTTCTCCCTCTGCCTGTGTCTCTGCCTCTCTCTCTCTCTCTCTCTCTCTCTCTCTCTCTCTCTCTCTCTCTGTGTCTCACGAATAAATAAATAAAATCTTATTAATTAATTAAATAAAATAAAATAAAATAAAATAAAATAAAATAAAATAAAATAAAATAAAAAATTAAAGGTACTTACTGACTTATCTGGGCTTAACCCCAGCTCTGCCAAATGCTGCCTCCTGTCAGCAGTTTCTGCTCTTGCCCTCCTGTTGTCTTGCCTCTCAACTTTCTCACCTTCTTTTGAATTGACTGTTTTTCATAACTCCATTTTTCCCTCTTGCAACCTAAAATTACTCCTTGTTTTATTGCCTCAGGTTACTCGGGATTACAGCATGCATCCTCACATTATAAGAATCGAAGATTTACTGGCTCCTCTCTCTCTACCTTCTTCCGCAGGGATGTAAGCATCTGAACTTGCACCCTCTACCCTCCCTGGAGCTCAGACTAGTGCTGTGGTGTCAGGTAAATTTACATATTTTTAAACCAAATAGAACACAGTTATTCTTGTTTTACACAGTCACCACTCATTTGGGTTGACCCATACATTTACCATTTTATGTGGTCCTACTGGGTCCTCCTCATTGTCCCTAGGCTTACATAGCTCTCATCTGAGTCTACCTCCAGGGGACCAAGGGGCCCCGGGAAGTGGACCCAAGATGGATTGTGCAGAGGAGCTGGGCCGGTGGTAGCTGAGGGGATGTGGAGGCCCCTGCAATATGGAGAGAATGTTCCCAAGAAGCCCAGGATAAGTAAGCACCAGTTGAAGGCTGACATGAAAGCCGGTGCCTCTTTGAGGGGGCCATACAAGGCAGTGAAGCCCAAGAGTCTGGGGACAGTCTCAGAGACTGCTGAGGACACCTGTTAAAGAACGACAAAGGGAAGTACAGACAATGTGTTCAACAAGCTGCCCTCAGAGAGAAGCTTACCAGTGACGAATGTTCATAAAAGTTATTTGTATCTTCTACATTTTGAAATCTTCAGACAGAAAAAAAACAGCAAAGATTCAATCTTATGTCCCTAATGTACTATTTTCAACAAAAGTGAGAAGTCCCACATGTGGCAGAAAGACCACAGCTTTGCAGTCTGACATGGCCAGGAAAATGCTCCTGAATCTGCACCTCAGTTTCCCCATCTGTACAACAGAGATCGTGACAATCTCTGTACGGAGCCAACCCAAAGGTCCGGAAAGAAAAGACCTGAGCCGCCCAGCCTGCCCTTGATCAAGAGCACAGACCACAGTGCACGCGATGGTGGCATGTTGTGGGAAGTCCTGGGACTTCCTGTTGGGCAAGGAGAAGTAAGCACCAACTACAGCGGCCTGTGGCACCCATGCCAGGGACTGCATCAGAGAAAAGGACGTCTGACCACAGGCTGCCACCATAAGCCTGGATGGTGCTACTTCGTCACCTCTTGGAGGCTCAGACCCCTTCCACAATCCTTCCAGAAACACACGAAAACACCTGGCAAGCCACCTAACCCGAGAATGTGGGCTTAGTCAAAACCCCCTTCTGGTGGGACCAGCACCACCACTCTGAGGGACCCCAGGCAGCAGGCTCTGCCTGGCCTGTGCGTGTGGCACGCACACCTCTGCTTCTTCCACAGGAGTGTGGGTGATACACTGGAGCCTATGCTGACCACTGACAACCAAACCCGGCATACTGGCCTGAACTGCCCCCCAGTTACCATGAGACCACAGGGGAGGGTCTCACCGCCACCACAGCTCCAGCCCCTCAACCCACCCTCTGACTCCAACAAAAATTCATCCAGCCAAGAAGACAATGAGGTACTTTCAAAGGCCTCTTCTGGCTCTAACATTCAATGATTCCCATTTCACATTAAAACACAAACTAACTTACTCTTTTAAGCAAGAAACAACCAAAGTCAGTTTGTTTCCATTTATTGTTATTCAGTCTGTAAGAAATTATCTTAGAGAAAAAAAAATAGAAAAAAAAAAGAAATTATCTTAGAGTTAGTTTTTAAAATAGAACCACACTGATATTTGCACAACCGAGTTCAAAGCGGGATTATCCATGGCAGTCAAAAAGGTGGGAGCAACCAAAGCATCCACTGCCAGATGGATAGATAAACAGAATGTGGAATATCCATGCAATGGAAAAATGGATCAAATATTAGGACATTCTGACACTTGCTGCCCACAGAAGGATCTGGGGACCCTGGGCTCCAGCACAAATCTGCTATGATTCCTTTTACATAAGGGACCTAGGGTCATCAAAACCCACAGAGACAGAAAGTGTGACAGTGGGTTCCAGGGCGAGGGGAGGGGGATGGAGAGCCAGGGATTCATGAGGACAGTTTCCACATTACAAGAGGAAGAGTGCTGGGGATGTGGGGCAGGGGGGACAGCTGCCCAACACTGTGATATGTGTCATGCCACTGAACCAAGCACTTAACAATGATGAATTTTATGCTGTAACCAGTTTACTCCAATTAAATATATGTGTAACCAATGATACCCTAAACAAATGTAGAAATAAGCCACAAAAATTTTTTCAAAACATTTATTTGACAAAGGACCCATATCCAGAATAATATATAAAGAAATACTACAAAATCTTTTTTAGTAAAATAGGAAAAGGATATGAACAGGCTGCTAATTCATAACAGAGAAAACCTGACTGGCCAGAGAGCCCACAGTGGACCACTTGGCCACGCGCATCATCAGTGAAATGCAAAGTAAAACAAGCTGCCCTTCCACTAAAATGGGAAAAATCTAGTCTGACGGCACTTGGTGCCAGAGAGGAGGGGTGACCAGAGCCTGTGTGGGAGTGGCCACCCTGTTACCCAGCACCCCACCCAGAGGGAGAGGGTTTCCCCGCTTCCCACCGGGTGCCTGTCAACAGCACTAGCACGTTCACAGTGGAATGCCATGGAACAAGTGCCACACTGGGACTAAAGCCATGAGGGTCAGACTTGAAGGCATCAGGCAGTGTATTAAAGGTGGCACAGTAAGACATGGTACAGGTGCATCTGTGTAAAGTATGAGAACACAAACGAACCACAGAAGGATCAGGGGCTGCCAAGGGTTCAGGGGGGAAAGGGAGGTTCTCAGGGCAGTGAGAGACCACATGTGACACCATACACCTGTTCACAGGCCTTGAATGTACGGCCCAGAGAGTGGGGCCTAACAAGAATGCATCCACACTGGCCCATCAGCATCCCAGGCACCGCGGCGGTGCCAATGCGGAGCACGGGGTGCTCTCTGCCTTCTGCCATGCCCTTCTATAGACCTAGAATGGCTCTGAAAGGAAAGTCTGTTCATTTTTTTAAGAACTATAGATAAAAGCAAAGAACTTGGAGACGCCTGGGTGGCTCAGCGGTTGAGCGTCTGCCTTCGGCCCAGGGCGTGATCCTGGAGACCCGGGATCAAGTCGCACATCGGGCCCCCTGCAAGGAGCCTGCTTCTCCCTCTGCCTTTGTCTCTGTCTCTGTCTCTCTCTGTGTCTCTCATGAATAAATAAATAAATAAAATCTTAAAAAAAAAAAACCCTCTGTATTTGTGAGTCAATACCCAATCTTTAAAGAGGGGACCAGGGCAGTCCCAGGTGGCTCAGCGGTTTAATGCCGCCTTCGGCCCAGGGCGTGATCCTGGAGACCCGGGATCGAGTCCCACGTCAGGCTCCCTGCATGGAGCCTGCTTTCCCTCTGCCTGTGTCTCTGCCTCTCTCTCTTTTTGTGTGCCTCTCATGAATAAATAAATAAAATACTTAAAAAAATAAAATAAAGAGGGGACCATGAGAAGCCCTTCCTCAGAATTTTTTTTAAAAGATTTTATTTATTTATTCATAAGAGACACAGAGAGAAAGAGAGCACATGGCAGAGGCACAGGCAGAGGGAGAAGCAGGCCCCATGCAAGGAGCCTGACATGGGACTCGATCCCAGGTCTCCAGGATCAGGCCCTGGGCTGAAGGCGGCGCTAAACCGCTGAGCCACCCGGGCTGCCCCACCTTCCTCAGAATTCTTGTAAGGGGTGAGCCAAGCTCACATCTGTAAAGTGTTTACAGGCATGCTGGCCACACAGAAGACAGAGCAAAAGCCACTGCAACGCTCTGCAGATGCAGGCAGAGGCAGGGAAGGCAGCAATATGGGCAGGGGTAGGGAAGGCCTGGCTATGCAGTAGAAGTCTCCCATTACCCTCACCACACCTGGCAATCACAGTTACCAAGACGGAGGGAGGGGAGCAGGATTAGGGTGGGATTCAGAAAGATTCCAATTTATCTGCACAGATGTTCATTTGTAAAAACCTGACAAAGAAAAGAGAAAAATTAAAATCAAATACCTCGAGATCATCAAGGGAGCGAGTGATACTAAATCTCTTGGATCTTCCAAATGATCTTCGGGCAGAGGTGCGTTGAGAAGTCTGAGTGAGTCCGATTCCCCGCCCAAATTTTGAGCCCTAAACACAAAGGAAAAAAACACATCACATTACCTTCTTGGGAAGAGTTGCGGAGTTCTGCTAGGCACACCACCCAGAGAGGGGAACCCAGAGAGGAGAGGGCACTGGGGAGCAGAGGAGAGCAAGACTGGAGCATCACCTGGGGTCGATGTCATGCTGTGCATGTGTCACCACAAGAAAAATCCAAAGTTGAAAACAAAAGTCACCCCAGGACCTCCACGTGTTTGCCCTGCCACTTAAGATTTGTACCCAGAGGACAACCCCGGCCTCACACCCCATGACTACAAGCCAGGGTCCTGCCTGCTGGCCTCCAAAGGCCACTACCAAGAGCAAATGAAAAACAACATGTGGATATTTGGGAAAGGATGAAGTGTGTGGGGAGAGAAATAACTATTAAAATAAAAATTATGACTTTACATAATTTTACAGGCATTTTAGGAAATTAAAGAATCCCTAGACATTCAGCTGGTGTCTGAAGACCAAAGCAATTCAGGTGCATGAAATAACTGGTCTTGTTCTTTCTCTGGGAAATGATCAGAATTAATTCACTGTCATTATGCTGGACACTTCCCCAAATGTGATTTGGGTCCAACAAATAAGGCATCACATTTTTAATATAAAAAGCATCACAGCTGAAAATCTCTGATTTCCCGGGTACTTGAAATCCTAAGTGACCAATTTCAGCCATAAAGGAAGTTCACGTTTTCTAAGGACTATGAGGCTCTCCAGATGTCTGCTCTTCTCCCATGTGAGACCCTTGGGCGTCCTGCAGAAGGGGGCAGCCTTGTGGCACTGCCGGGTAGAGCTCCACCGGCCGCGTCTCAGTGCCACACAACCCTCACCCACACACCCCACCCCACTACCCCTCTCTGTCCCCCACACCTAGGCCACTTGGCTGCGTGGGGGAAGAACACAACCCCCAGACTGCTGTCCCATGACATGCCTGACCCGAGGGGCCCTTGGCCACGTGACCACTTTTCTTTCGCTCGCTCCTCCTTGTCTGGGACCTCAGGCCAAGGGCCTTCAGGGTGGGGGTAGGCCTGACCCACGGCTTCTTCCTCCTGCCCCTTCTGGCCTCCCCCTGCCTTCCGCACACCTGCTGGCTGCTTTCCTCACTCTCTGCCTTTGCACTCAACCCAGACCCCAACCTCTCACCTCCACCCCCTGAATCACTGGGGCCTAAATGGGAGCAACAAGCACATTATTTTTAATCTCTTGATTCTTTAAAAATATTTTATTTATCTATTCATGGGAGACACACAGAGAAAGGCAGAGACATAGGCAGAGGGAGAAGCAGGCTCCCTTTGGGGATCCCAGTGCAGGACTTGATCCAAGGATCCCGGGATCACAACCTGAGCCAAATGCAGAGGCTTAACCACTGAGCAACCCAGGCATCCCTAATCTCTCAATTTCTTTTTTTTTTTTAATTTCTTTTTTTTTTAAGATTTTATTCATTTATTCATGAGAGGCAGAGAGAGAGAGAGAGAGAGAGAGAGAGAGAGAGAGAGAGGCAGAGACACAGGCAGAGGGAGAAGCAGGCTCCATGCTAGGAACCCAACATGGGACTCGATCCCGGGTCTCCAGGATCACACCCTGGGCCGAAGGCAGTGCTAAACCACCGATCCACCCGGGCTGCCCTAATCTCTCAATTTTTATTAAAAAGTAACGTAGGTGCCAAGGGAAACCGCCTTCATTTCCTTTGCTCTGCGTTGCCACAGGGCTCTCCACAAGTGCTTCTTAAACACCAACCACATGCACAGGGCCACAGGGCACCCAAGACAAGCTCAGACAGGTCTCTGGACTCCAAGGAACTCACGATCTCTCAGTCCTCCTGAGGCTACTTGAAGATGGCAACAGAGCAGCTGCAGGCTACTTGAACGCTTCCCAGTCTAGAAGAAACCAGAGGCCCCTGGAGGCCACACCGTGGACTGCAAGTCCAGGATGGTGATGAAGACTCCAGGCCAGGACCACTAGAAGAGGAAACCAGGCTGAGCAGAGGTCAGGCCCAACAGAGCCCTGGAACAGACAGGGCAAAGCCAGGCTGCAGACAGCACTGGCAGGGGTACTTCAGCAAAGTCTTCTGAAATAGAGTGTGCAAGCTCAGGAAAGGGCAACCTGTTGCAGCAGTGAGCAGAAAGAACCGAACCTAGCAGGGAGCAGTAGTACAAAGAGAGAAAGGGGTGCAGGGATTGGGGGAAGGAAGAGGAGGGAGGGGGAGAGATAGGGAGTGGGGGAGAGAGGGGGAAAGGTGGAGAGAGAGGGAGGGGGAAGAAGGGACTGTCTCAGGAACAGGACAATAGGTAGGCCTGAAGAAAAAGGCAGAGATGCCCAAGGCTCCCTGTCCCAGACGCATCATCGCCATCAGCAGCAGCACACAGGTCCTCAGAACTGGTAATAAAACATCCCACTACACTCATCAAACCTGAATATCGCAACAAGAGTTCAGAGAGAACCCTTGCTAGCAGGTTACTTGAGTAGCAGGCTCCCTGCACATCTGCCTAGTAGCCCCTGCTCAGCCCTTCAGAGGCTGCTGCACTACTGGCAAGGCTTGGTCCCTGCCATCCAGACTCTGCTGGGCCAGGTGCCTGTTCTCCCCGCCCTTCAGCCCTCAACCCGAGGCCACCCCTAACTGCACTGCCTGAGGAGCTGCCCTGGGGTCCCCCTCTGAGGAGTCCTCCTCTGAGGCTACGCCTTCCCTCCCCACCTGTTAGCACAAGTTCCCCCAGGAAGTAGGGCCCTTGTCCTCTGAATACCTACTGCCCAGCACAGTGCTGGAAGGAAGGCTGAGAACAAATTGTCTAGGGGCCTAAGAGCCCAGCAGCAGGACCCAGTGGCTTGCCGGCAAAGGAAGCCTGGCAGCCATCCAAACGCCTTCTCTGCAGCCCAATGCTCTTTGCTCCCAAACCAAAGAAGGCTCCAAATATGCATAAGACGAACCCTGTGTACAAATCATGTACTTGTGATTCTGTATTTTTATTTTGCAGGTGGGGGTAACAAGCATGTGGCTTTGTGCTAAGAACACGGTGTCACTGTGATGCTCAGGAGGCAAGGACAGGCGGGCTGGGCCAGCCACTGGAGTTCTTTTTATTTTTGTTATTATTATTATTTTTATTTTTATTTGCCACTGGAGTTCTTAACGTAGTTCTTACCATAACAAACTCAGAAGTTCACCAATAACTCAGCACCCCTGGCACTAAGTAACTCATGGTCCCCACATACTACAAACAAGGGTGTAACGGCCTGCATGGCAGCCCTCCTCCACCTGCATCTCCCTTCCTCGGTTGCTGTTGCTAACAACTCTGCACACTTGCTGCAGGAGGCCAGGGGTCATGCGGGGACACACTGTCACTGTCACTGCCACGTGGCCATGGCCCAGCCCGGGGAGCAGATTGTCTCGCCCCAGCTCCAGGCATGGAGAACATGGCCTGACCACCAGCAGCTGAGCCGGAGCCAGAGCCAGAGCCAGAGCCAGAGTCAGGGCATGCGGCCGGGTTTCCAGAGGAACCAGAGGGCCCTCCCATGCACCTGGTCCCTGCGTAGGACTTGGGAGAAACAACCCCCCTGGTTCCTGTCGCCTCAAACTATAAGTGGGGGTGGGTACCTCAGGGAGGCTGAGAGGTGTCAGTTCTCTCCAGGGTGGGAATGGGGCGGGGGGGTGGGGGGAGAGCAGAACGCCATCACCTGGGGTACCAAACTGCCCCAGCCACTTAGCACCAATGCTGATCCATCCCACAGAGCCACTGAGTTAGGCGGCTCATTTCAGCACCAGCAGTGACTCAGACTAGCCAGTCCAACCACCTCGATCTCCACAGGAGAACACGGTAGCCAGTGAAACACCTGCTCAGGGTGACCCAGAGGGGGCCTGGAGCAAGTCCTGACTAGTCATTTTTTAGTTACAGTTAGAACTAGAGTTGTGCCTGTCCCGCTCATATAATGCCTCCATCCCTCCCATGGCGCCCAGTATGTAGTAGGTGCTCAGTAAGCACTTACTAAAAAAGTAGACTCTAACAAAGAAAACTGTTTAGTTCAAAATAGAGACCAGAGTATCTGAAGGTTTTTCTAAAAAGAGGGAACACAGAGAATTTAAGGAGTAAGACTTCCAGCTGACATACTTACTGTTCCTGGTGTGTCAGGCAGAGTCTAGTCAGAAAGCAAGACCACACCAGTTGTTTTCACAGGGAGAATTTCCTAGAAGGAACAGTTAACTAGGCATCAGAGACCTGGAAAGGCAGAGACCCTAAGAAGTCAGAGACAGCCACCGGGAAGTGACTACACCCCCTGGGCTGGGACAAAGACAGGAAGAAGAGGGAGGGATTTAAACACAGCAGCCAGATAGGACCCAGACCTGGGGGAGAGGGGTGGGGTGCAGCCACAATGGAGCCAGAGGAGCTGATAACTGAGCTCAGGGCTGGCAGGGGAGAGGACTGCCCAGCCCAGGGAGGAGCATTGCCATGGCAACATGCAGGGAGCAAGCAGGGAGAGGCAGGACCCTCCTCCTCCCCTCTAGCCACTCCCCAGCACCCTGGGGGCAGAGCTTGGGGGGGAGGGGACACAGACGCCAATGTCCCAAAGCTGATTGCAAAAGGGAGACTCTAAGGGACGCCTGGGTGGCTCAGTAGTTAACAATCTGCTTTCGGCTCAGGGCTCAATCCCAGGGTCCTGGAATCGAGTCCTACATCAGGCTCCCTGCATGGAGCCTACTTCTCCTCCCTCTGCCTATGTCTCTGCCTCTCTGTGTGTGTGTCTCTTGTGAATAAATAAATAAAATCTTAAAAAAAAAAAAAGGGAGACTCTAAAAATAAATCTGATTAAAGATGTTTATAAAGGGAGTTATAAATTTTTACTACAAGAAAATAAAGCCTAAATAAATAAATGGAGAGAAATAATACCATTTTCATGGATAGGAAGACTCAATACTCTAAAGATGTCAGTTCTCCCAAATTGGTCTACAGATGAAAATACAACTGCAACAAAAACATCAGTAGCATTTTTGGACAATT